TCAGACCTCAGTCCCGTTTAAAATGTTTGGATAGACTGCAGAAATCAGAATTTATTTGAGATATTTTACAAAGATTGGGAAACTATTCCAGTGTGTAAACGTGCAAAGATAGTGACTGTGTGTAATCTGATCTCAGTAAATATAAAGCATTTTACTTGTTTTTTGGGATTTTGTCACTTTGTTTTTAAACTTAAGTGTATCAAAGAGATGACAGATAAGAGATAAATGCAAATGGATGTCGTTTTTGTATTTGTGAAACCATTAAAACGGTTTGGTAATTTTCCTCACCTCTCTATTTGGAACTACCCTGTGTTGGTCAGTTATTATGCCATTAGGCATAGTGTGTAACTTCTCTTTACTTCAGTAATTATTTTCATGAAGTGACAGGGGATTTTCTTCCACTACTCTGTGCCAGTGTTTTTTCTTTCTTTAGTTTGTGGGTTTTTAAAGAGAAATCCAAGGTTTGTAGCTCTTAAGGAACAACCGTTTAAATGTCTTTGATTGAGATCATGACAAAGCTACTGTAAATTTTTTAAACCTTTTTTTTTTTAAGCACAATATGCAAAAGACATGAAGCGGATTCTCTGTTTGAGAAACAGAGATTGTGCGCTAGTCAGCGTCCTGTGGGGTTGACAGCCGAGGCTCTGGTGACACACGCTCATGCCCATAAACAGGGATTTGGTTCTCTGGAGAAAATAACCTTGATAATTACTGGGTGCATATGGACCTGTCCACAGTGAAAGGAAGAAGAGAGCTGACTGAGAAGTTAAGGAGAAAGAGAGAGAGAGCCACATCCGCTGGTGCATTCCTGTATGCTGTGTCATAATGGTGCTGAGTTTCCCTTCAGTCTGCATGGAGATTTCCACAAGGCAGAGAGTGCAAAGAGGAACCAGTGCAGCGCCTGGGGACATTTAAAGTTTAACAAGGCACAGGCCATTCGTATACCCTCCACAGTAACTAAAAGAGCACATGTAAGGAAACTGGCAGACAATAGTGAAAAACTGGTGCCACATGGAGGGTGGGATACATGGAAAAAAGAGGGAAAAAACGACACTCTGATGACCTAACTGTTGGAGACGCTAGTATACTTAGACTGTCCTCTCCCAGTCTCTTTCTGCTTGCATCATTTGGTGGAACTGATTTGGCACCATCGCAGCCAGGGCTGGATCGCTCTGGCTGGCTGGCCGCCCGTCTGCTTGCCTGTCATTCAGCTGGTTAAAGAGGCCTTGTTGAACTGCTGCACTGTGCCTGCCTACTGCAGGGCCAGAAACAGTCAAGTCCTCGTGTCTGGTGCGCGCCAGCCCACACCAATTGACTTCTCCACACAACAAGCTCTCTCTGCTTGCTAAAAAAGGTTTTGGCTCAAAAGACTCAATAAATCATTTTTGTAATGTTTCGATTAGATTTCCAAGGATGCTTAGAGACTGAACTCTTGCTTCTACTTTGTGTCCTAGATTGCATATTCACCGGAATAGATGGATTGTTTCCCAAAAGAACACCAACACAAAACAAAACAGATCCATTGTGCAGCATAGAGGGCTACAGCTACAGTTTGTCACTCAGATAGAGTTCTCCCTCTGCTTGTCTGGTTAATGGCAGCTCATTCTGTCACAGTTGACCTGCGCCTTTCGTGAACCGCTCTCTGTCCTTTTCTCAGTCCCTTTGTGACACTCATCATGAGGACAGGCATGAGAGCTGTGGCTTCATTTTGCACTCTACTTCTACCTCCTCCTTGTCTCGTGTCCTCCAGCCTCCCTTCTGTCCTGTTGTCTTTCCCTTTCTGTCCACCTCCCCTACCCCACTCTTGGCTTCTGCATTCCTAACATCGTTCTGCTATGATTAGCAATAGTGTTTTTTCCCTTTTTAGCCTGTGTAATTTCTAGATCCTCCTCTGTCCTTGGAAAGCTCTTCTAATAAGCTCAAACACACCAATGTCTCTGTGCACCACGGGCATTACTCTTCGGCGTTACTGAGCGTGTAAACAAAGACCGCCCCAAAAAGAAAAATACAAAACAAAAACACATGCGGCGTCTCTTTTCTCAGCGCACGAATAGACTGGCCTACCAACCCCACCGAGGGCATCACCAACAACACCAGACAGCGAGCGGTGACCTTCTGCATGTCAATCACAACAAATCTGCTTCCTGATTCGAATATGGGGAGGAAAACGGTGTAAATTGAAAGCAGAAATCCCCCCGGTGCGAGACAAGATGAGCCTCAGAATAAATTATTCAGATGGAGCTCTCTCTCTCTCTTTCTCTCTCCCGAATGATTCTCGCCTTCTGCTACATTTAATGGCATCTGCGATGACGCCCATTGGAGATTAATCCAGATGCGAGACGTTTGTGTTTGCGTACTTACATTTGTGCTTGCGGCCCGCTCGCCCTTCTTCTCATGCATCCCGTCGTGTCGTGTGATGGGGAAACAGAGCCTCAGCAGGGGAATTTATCTCTTCTCCAGAGAGGCTTGTAAATAAACAAGTAGTGAATCAATGGCGCCATTTGTTTTGTTTTTTCTTATAATTCTGCCTTTTCTCTTTAGGTGGTTTGACAGTTTTTTTTTTCTTCTGAGGCTCTTTATATCTCAGCAGCCATATTTCCTCTCGGTGAGAGTGAGAAAACATGCCTGGCTGGCGTCATGTTTCATTACAGAGGATCAGTAAATTACCTTGTGTGTGCGCATGTTTTTACTTTTCTTTTATATCACCCACTGCAGCTCATTTAGCACCATGATGGAGCCTTTGTATGAATGTGGAAATAATACCAGCAGTGGAAGTTGTGCTTCAGAACTTCTCAGTCAAACAAAGACACACGAGCTGAGATGAATCCACAAACACAGAGTGTGTCCTGCGGTTAATGCATTTCAGGCTTGGTGAGCATTATTGATTCCCTGCAGAAGGATGACCCTTCCTTAGATAAGTGCTCACAATATTTGACTGTTTGGAGTATTTTTCTCTAGCATGTTTTCATTATTTTTTATAACTGAACCGAAGCCTTATTATAAGCCGTTTTCCTTAGGGGCTCAGTAGACCGATGTGTGTTTACTGTGTGAGTTTTGTTTCTTATTTGTTTCTGGTTTAATCCCCTGAGCTGAAGTTCTGTTGCCTTTAGTGGTGATAATTAGCTGGTTCCAGAAAATATAAAGGGTGTTACCTGTATTAGTTAGGGTTCAGTGACTGATAGCGGCAGTGAATAATGATGTGAGAGCAGTGCTTCTGGTTCTTCACACATAAAGGTAACCTCCCAGTGTGTAAACCCTGATTAGTAGAATCCACAGTAATGCAGCTAATGCTGCTGTTAGTGATATTTATTGAGTGCCAAAGGTGCCACATTGTTACGGTAAAATATATCCGTATGGGGTTATATTATATGATAGAGTTAAAGAAAAAACTGCTATTAAGGACAGATCTAATAATGGTCTTATTAAATCTGTAATTAAATAATTCTCCCTCTCATATGATTGTTATAGAAATGTGATTTATACTTCACAGATGAAATTATTGATTAGTACTTCTCAAACAAATCCTAATAAATGTTTGTCTGCAGGAAAAAGAAGAAATTGTTAAAAAACAAAAACCTTGTAGCTACATCTTATTTCTTTTTCTATTCCATGTTTTATTAGACCTTAAACTTCAGTACTTCATTAAATAAATCATAGAATAGAATAGAATAGAATAGAATAGAATAGAATAGAATAGAATAGAATAGAATAGAAACATTTGGGAATATTAGCAGAAAGTGAAAGGCAAAGGCACCATGCTATATAAAAAGGATAAAGAGGGGAAAAAAGCAAGGGAAGTAAGGAAACTTAAAAGCATAAAAATGAATTGCTGCAGCATCTGATGACTGAACAATAAATTAGTATATCTGCTTTTTAATTAGTTTTCATAATGTTATATTTAGTTAATTACACATGTTTTTGATTAGTTATCTATGTAGTTTTCCTATTTTAATTAGTGAGTTTATTAATTAAAGACACATTTTGCCTCACATTTCAAAATCCATAATGCAAACTGCATGGAAAATAGACTGTATAGTTTTGAATATGGTGGTTATATATATTACATTTTATTTTCATAGGACTTACAGGATTTATCGTTTTCATTGTGATAATTACATGGCTTCAAAAGCTTATAATGCAAATAAATAACTAAAATTTAGAAATTCAAGACAACCAGGTGATGTTTAGAAAAATAATTTTTAAAAAGCATTTGGTTTGATAATACAAACTTTCTAGGTTAGGTAATAATTTGTTTGATTATTGTACTACTGCATTTTTCAAATTCCATGAATAAAATCATACACCCTCTTTCTGACTAGAGGGTTATCATCCTTTCTTTTTCTCTGTTTTGAGTACCTTTTTCTGTTCCCAATAACCAAGTGTGAAAATACTGTATAAGATTGTTTTAGCTAATTAAACTCACATGACTAATTTAATTTGATTCAGATATGAGAAAAATGACTATCTTTGGAAGCAGTTTTAGCCTGTAGGCATGGCATTAACGGTAGTTAAATGTGAGGTAATCTTTAGTTTGCAAACTAGGTTTTAAAATCTGTTAATATGCAGAAAATGTTAAATTGTAGTTTCAAACAGAATTAAGTAAGCTAAAGGAATAGTTGTGTAAAATAGGTTATGGTGTGTTAATAGGCAGCAAGTGGCTGTCCCATCAGGAGGATGTGCACATCTCTGTTAGAAAAGAGCCAGAAGCAAAAGAAAAGAATTGTTCCTGCATGATTAGAGAGTTTGGAAGACAGCTGCTACTGCAACAACTCATCTCCTGTTTCTCGTTTAAGGTGCTTAATGTTTAATATTTGACAGGATTGTAGATACAGATTCTCTGCAGCTCCCAGGTTCTTCTTATTTGCCTCCAATTTGTCAGATGAACAGCAGGGTGCTCCTATGCCATGCTAAGAACTCCTGCAAACTATCTCTTGTATTCCCGTTTCTCCAAAAAGCACATTCTGCCTTATCCGTAATCATTTTGCTTTGTTTGATTTCAGATTCACTCTGTGATTTATGAAGGCTAAGAAGCAGGTTTTGCTTAAGAGCAAAAACAGGAGCCTCCTCGTCAGAATCGGTAAGATTTCCTGCCTTATCCCCTCCGTCTTTGTCCAAGCCGCTCAGCGTGAGCTGGAGCTGCGATGCTGATAGTGCTGCAGGGTCTCAAACTTAAGATAAGAAGCAGAGGTTAGGATTTAGTTTTTTTGTTGTGTCACACCAGCCTCTTAAACAATCAAACATTGTTCAGATTGTTCTTGTTGTACAGTAACAGTACAGAAGAGGAGAGTGAGAGAACAGGCATTGTGTGGAAAGAAAGAACAAATGTTTTCTTATCTGAAAATCCAGTCATTTAAAAAGACAAGCTTTCATTGCCGTCTACCGTTGTGTATTTGCTTGGTTATTTTCAAGATATGATGCTGTTTGGATGGCCATACAACTTGCTTGTCATTTAAAAGGTTTCAGTTTTCATGTGAAGAGCCACCAGTTCTTCTGCTAGATGTGGTTTATGTGGCTTCTGTCTTTAAAATTCAGCATCTTGGGAAAATATTCATACCCCTTGAACTTCCTCACTGTTTGACACGTTGTAACCGCAAACTTCAGAGTCTTTAATGGGCCTTATATGTTTCTGCACAGATAAAATCTAATACCTTGTTATTGCACATATTCTACTCATGCGTTTATAGAAAGATATATTTTTGTTATGACGTCTGTTGGTGAAAAAACAGCATCATGAAGCCGACAGATCTTGCTTAAAGTTTAAAGCAAGGCCGGGGTATAGAACAATATCAATGCGTTGAACATCTCGTATAGCTGTTTTGAATCTAGAGTGGAAATACCAATGTTTACAAAATCATAACGGACTGTTTCAATATAATATTTGATTGGCTACTTTGGCTAACTCCCATAGTTCTTTTTCCCACAACCGACTAAGATCGGAAAGCTTATGTAGAGCAGTGGGTTAGCCTTTCAGCTGCAAAACATCTCTAAATATAAAGCCAGAGCTCAAAGAAAACAAGTAGGATCAAAGTGTAACTGCGTGTGAATTTCGTAGTCAAATTCAAGACCTAAAACCTAAAGAATCTGTGCATGAGCTGAACATTGTGTTTACAGATGCTATTTGAACGGCGTTCTAAAGAAAAATGCAGCTAAAGGTGTTTTTAAGTAGTGACTAAGGGGAGCTAATACAAAATGTACACTTTTCAGATGTTTTTATTTATAACCAAATTTGAAATACATGCTATTTTTCCAAATTATGCACAGATTTGTGTTAAATGAAACAATCCTAATAAAACACACTGAAGTTAGTGTTTGTGGCATTTCAAAATGATAAAAAAAATTTTAAAAATTCAGAAGCGTATCAATGGGGCATGGCAATTTATCGTTAAAATCAATTATTGAATTTTCTGTTTATGAAGATTTAATTTTTGGAAAAAATCAAGCAAACATTTTGTTTTTTTTATTTAAATTTTTTATTTGTGAGAACATTTTCACAGCTTGAATGTTGTTCCTCTTTAAAGTAAGGTCACCCCCAAAGGGAATGATTGAAATCTTTGAAAATAATGCAAGGCATCTGTCATTTTTTATTATGAAACAATAATTCTGATTTGGTAGGAAATTATCAGAGATAACATTTTTATGCCATATCACCCAGCCCTAAGCATCAATATGTTTGCTTTTCAACCGAAACAGCAGTGCAGAGCCAATATGGAGTTAGCATGTTTTACCTTTTGTCTGACTTCGTCAGCAAGATCACTCACATGGAAAAGAGCAAATTTTCATCTCAATTTCACCAGCAACCAACATTTGCTTTATGCTCCCCAATCTGCGGGAAAAGGCTCAATTTCATGCAAAAACATGCATGAATATTGTGTTCAATTAGCCTTTGAACAGCACGAGTGTTATGCTTTCGCCTATCCTTTGGACTCCATGAATTTTAAGTGTCTGTTTAAACCCATGGCAGTCATCATCGCAGTGTCGAAAACCTTTGACCACCATGATGGATGATGTAATTGGGTTGAATGAGGGTGTGAGGAAACAACCGACAGCAAACCAAAGAATGTCGTATTATTTCTCAGTCGCATAAAAGGAAAAAGAGATCTGATCTCACCGCCTTTTCTTTGAGATGTTGTGCAAAATGTCGACGGTGTAGTTTGTGTACATGCGAAACAGCATCAGAGTGCTTGAAGGTGAATCATTTTTGGTGGCATCTGCACATTTTGCAGTATGCTAATGAGCAAAGCTGCACAAGCCAGATTGCCAGGAGAGCGAAGGGGAGATGGAGAGGAAAGAAAAACTGGGAGAGAGCAAAGTGGAAGAGAGAAACAGACGGAGGCTGGTGTAAATTATGGATGCAACCTGCGATTTCCAAGAGGGAAAGAAAGGCAGAGAGAAACCTCCAGTCATGCATATCAGATTATGCATTTACCACATTTTCTTATCATGGTCCATGAGCAAAACTCGCAATCTGCAATCTGGCCTCTTTGTGTATGCATGTGTGCCGGTGTGTGAGACAGGGAGGGAGAGCACTTACATATTCATCCATGTCAAGTCTCGTGGAGTTGTGCTGTGCCGTCAAGCGTTCTCTAAAACTTCCTGCAAAGACAGAAGATGTTTTTACTTTTATTACTCTTTGGTTATCAGTGTTTACATTAGAGCTCAAAATATCAATCAACAGATCACGATAGACCTTTGATTGGTTAAAAAAACGGACATTTAAAACAATTAAAGGACCTGCATGCATGTTTGTGTTCTTCTGTGAGAAAAGCAGAAGTCGGCTATGGCCTGATTGGTGCATCTCTGTCTCACATGGTTCTTTAAGAGAGCAGCACATCTATTCTGCTCGAGGCCGTTTCAGTTACTTTGTTTTCCCAAATCTCAGAGGGTACTCATGAGATATTTAATGACACAAAAAGCTGAATAGTGCCTCGTTAAAAGAAAAAGAAATTTGAGTCTCATTGTGTGAGTTGCTCAAGCATTTCAAAGTAAAGTTGAGTAAAAGTGAGCAATCGTTCAGTGCTACCACATCCTAGCATGTGCTCCAGTCCCTTAAGTATATATGTGTGTGTGTGATATTGTGTGAATAATGGATCCATTCTTGAGTCGTGTCTGTGACTGGGGCCTGAGCAGTGGTGTGGTTTCCCCACCAGAGGTTGGAGGTACAGGGATGGGAGGGGCTGCTGGTCTGGAAATAGCTCTGCCTGAGCTGAGAGCACCTTAGGTGGGCCTCTGTGTCAGCTTCATCTCCTTTTTACACACTTGCACGACTAAAGTACAATTCGGCTCTCGAGTGTTCCACACATTATGCACACATTTCCCCTAGTGTGGCTTTACATAACTCCAGTCAGCTTTGCTGTCTCTGTGATCGACTCAAACATGACAGGAGGCTTCGAAAAAAAAAACTGCAGCTTCTTTCATATGAACAAGTCATATTGGACTTTAAAGGTAGACAGAAGATACGAAGCTGCCTTGGATCTCGCTGTCATCTAAATGTGTGTTAATGTGCAAAGTAGGTCATTTAGTATGTGGAGCAGGGATAGCCGAGTTGTAAAATAGTTTGCTTGCAGACACATTGCAGGATTTGGCAAACAAGGCAGGGATTTATGTTTACCCATGTTTTGTTCATATGTCATTTTAAAATATATACATAGAAGTGATGTGGGGGGGGGGATCCCGGAAGGTGAAAAGGGCCGTGGTTAGTCCAGGGACAGCATCAGTAACCACAACCAGAGATAGCAGCTGAAAGATCTGACTAAATCAGATTACCAAACAAACAGTAAAGAGGATTAATTCTGATCCCCCCCCCTTTAGACAGACATTAAATCTGCAATCTATAAAATCCTCTCAGACGATTTTCTGATTTACTTTGTGTTCTCCTTTCTTTGCCTTCGTCTGAAGGTGAAGCTCTTACAGCTCGCATGTAAAATGTTTCTCTTTTGCTTTAACGTCAGACATCTACAAATTGAGATAAAGGAAATAATCTCCTCAAGAGATGAAATGAGAAATTGACTGATGACCGTAATCCTGCGATTCCTTTCAGCTTGATTCTCCCCGGCATGATAGTGGCTGCTCAGAAACTTTAAAAGATTTTTACATATTAGCCCACCGATCTTAGCACTGCCAGATCGTGCAAACTCAAACACTCTTCAGTGTTGTAGTTGTGAAAGCAGGTACACCTTAGAGTGGGATGTTTTCATTATGACTTAATCTTAAACATTAAATAAGAAGAAACACAGGGATGTAAGAAGCTGTTTAAATTCTAGCAGTAATTACTACATGCCATAACATGCAAGGCAAGATTTTGGTTTCAAATATTAGTAAGGACTACCTTTTTAGTACCTCTAGTTGCTCTAACCACACTAACTGCTGATATAAGATTTTAAACATTGTTTAAAATGTCAGCTGTGAATATATGCTAATTTTAATTGTAACATAAATTATTAAAAACATTTATAAAATAGGCTTTTATACAGTATTTCAAGTAGGGCTGCACAATACCAGGAAATAATGTCATTGCAAAGCTGCTGCTGAACTTTGCTCATGTTAATTAATATTAACCCACATTGTTGTTGCTCTTTTCCTTATTTTTACCTTTATCATAGTGTCTTGCCTAAATGTAGCATCTCAACCACTAAGTTTTTACATCTAGTGTTGGAAAGAAGACCAAGAAAAGCTATTTACCAGCCAGTATTTACTGTTGACTTTGCATGATTTGCAAAGCATTTAAATACTGTTCTTACATTAGTGCAGTGTTAAGAACAGTCAGAAATCGCTGAGAAATGTCTGATTAGATCATCTTTGTATTTAGAATCCTTTCAGCATACAACACTGGATCTGATCTCTGATTTGGTCTTGCATGATGTTGTAATTGCATGTTCTGAAAGGGAAACTCAATGTTGGCAAGAAGGCCGAGTTGAGACAGGCCTCTGCGCCTCTACCGGTGTCATTAAACGATCACAGCAAGGTTCAGTGGCATACTTCTAATTAATGGAAAGCACAATACACGGAAGGGAATAATTACACCTTGTCCCAGGCTTTCAGAGATCAAATGCTTTGCAGCATTTCTCTGAATTAATCTCC